CAAACAAATCCCAAAAGCTAGCGGAAGAAAAGAAATAACCAAATCGGAGCTGAACTGAAGGGAATTGATATGCGAAAAAAACATACAAGATGATCGAATTCAGGAGTTTGCTCTTTGGAAGAATAAATCAAATTGACAGATGATTAGATAGACTAATAAAGAAAATAAGATACTTCTTCAGATAAACACAACCAGAAATGACAAAGGGAACACTATCACTGACCCCACAGAAATAGAAAAACTAAAAAAATTATAAAAATGTAAAAACCTAGAAGAAATGGATGAATTCCTGGAAGCATACAGCCTCCCAAGATTGAACCAGAAGAAACTGATGATCGAACCTGGAAGAAACTGAATCCCTCAATAGACCAATAATGTGTTCCAAAATTGAATCAATAATAAAAAGCCTACCAATCAGAAAAAGCACTGGACCAGAGAGATTCATAGCTGAATTCTACCAGATGTATAAAGAAGAGCTGGTACCATTTCTACTGAAACTATTCCAAAACATTGAGGAGGAAGGACTCCTCTTTAACTCATTCTATGAGGCCAGCATGATACCAAAATCTGGCAAAGACATAAAAAAAGAAAACTTCAGGTCCATATTTTTGATGAATACAGACACAAAAATCCTCAACAGAATACTAGCAAACCAAATGCAGCAGTCCATCAAAAAGCTAACCCACCACAGTCAAGTAGGCTTTATCTCTGGGAGGCAAGGTTGCTTCGACATGCATAAATCAATAAATGTGATTTATCGCATAACCAGAACTAAAGGCAAAAACCACATGGTCATCTTAATAGATGCAGAAAAAACTTTCAATAAAATTCATCATATTTTCATGTTCAAACCCCTCAACAAACTAGGCATTAAAGGAACATACTTCAGAGTACTAGGAGCCATCTGTAACAAATCCACAACCAATATTTTACTGAATGGGAAAAAGCTGAAAGCATTCCCCTTGAGAACTGAAATGAGACAAGGATGCTCACTCTCATCACTTCTATTCAATGTTGTACTGGAAGTGGTACCCAGAACAATCATGAAAGAAATAAAAGACATTCAAATAGGAAGACAGGAAAACCTCCTATTTGGATAGGAAGTCAAACTATCTCTGTTTGCAGTCAAATGATTCTATACCTAAAAAAAAAACCCATAGTCTCTGTCCAAAAGTTCCTTGGTCTCATAAACAACTTCTGCAAAGTTTCAGGATAGAAAACCAATGTAGAAAAATCAGTAGTACTTCTTTACACTAACAACGACTAACGTAAGAAAACAATTCCATTCACAATAGCCACGAAAAGATTACCTAGGAGTACAGCTAAAGAGGGAGTTGAAAGATCTCTACAATAAGAATTACAAGACACTGTTGAAAGAAATCAGAGATGACACTAACAAATGGAAAAACGTCCCATGCTCATGGATAGGAGAATAAGTATCATTAAAAATGGCCATACTGTCCATAGCCAAAACGTTATACTTATCAAACTGTAAATGATATTCTTCACAGAACTAGAAAAAAAATTTAAATTCATATGGAACCAAAAAAAAAAAAAAAAAAAAAAAAAAAAGAGCCTGAATAGCCAAGGCAATTCTAAGCAAAAAGAAACCAGGCTGAAGGCATTATGCTACCTGGCTTCAAACTATACCACAAACTATAGTAATCAAAACTACATGGTACTGCCACAAAAACAGACACATAGCCCAAAGGGGCAAAATAGCCCAGAAATAATGTTGCACACCTACAACCATCTGATCTTTGACAAAGCTGACAAAATGAAGCAATGGGGAAAGGACTCCATATTCAGTAAATGGTGCTTGGACAACAGGCTAACCATATGCAGAAGATTGAAACTGGGCCCCTTTCTTACACCATATACAAAAATCAATTCTAGATAAAGATTTAGACATAAAACATAAAACTACAAAAATGCTGTAAGGTAACGTAGGAAATACCATTCTGGACATAGGCCCTGGCAAAGATTTCATGATGAAGATGCCAAAGCCAATTGTAATGTAAACAAAAATTGACGAATGGGACCTAATTAAATTTAAGAACTTCTGCATAGCAAAAGAAACAATCAATAGAGCAAACGGACGACGGGCAGAATGACAGAAAATATTTGAAAACTATGCATTTGGCAAAGGTCTGGTGTTCAGCATGTGTGAGGAACGTAAATTTATAAGAAAAAACAACCATATTACACAGTGAGCAAAGGATGTGAACAGACACTTTTCAAAAGAGGACATAAATGTGGCAAACAAGCATATGAAAAAGAGTTCAATATCTTGAACTCTTGGCAAACAAGCATATGAAAAAGAGTTCAATTCTTAGAGAAATGCAAATCAAAACCACAATGAGATAGTCTCACACCAGTCAGAATGGCTATTACTAAAAAGTTAAAAAATAACAGATGCTGGCGAGGTTGCAGAGAAAAAGAAATGCTTATACACCGTTGGTGGGAGTGTAAATTAGTTTGACCATTGTGGAAAGCATTGTGGTGATTCCTCAAAGAGCTAAAAACCGAAATATCATTTGACCCAGAAATCCCATTGCTGGGTATATACCCAAAGGAATATAAATCATTCTATCATAAAGACACAGGCACATGCAGGTTTACTGCAGCAGTATTCACAATAGCAAAGACATGGAACCAACCTACATGCCCATCGATGGTAGACTGGATAAAGAAAATGTGAAAATGTGGTACCTATACACCACAGAATACTACAGAGCCATAAAAATGAATGAGATTATGTCCTTCACAAGAACATGGATGGAGCTGGAGGTCATCGTCCAAACTAACACAGAAACAGAAAACTAAATACCGTATGTTCTCACTTATAAGTGGGAGCTAAATGACTAAAATACCTGGACACAAAGGGTGGAACAAAAGATACTGGAGCCTATTTGAGAGTGAAGGGCAGTAGGAGGGAGAAGAACAAAAAAAACTATTGGGTACTAGGCTGAGTACTGGAGTGATAAAATAATCTGTACCCTGTGACATGAGTTTACCTATATAAAAAACCTGCACATGTACCTGTAAACCTAAAATAAAAGTTAAAAAAAACTGTGTTTTATGTAAGCCTCATGGAAATCACAAAGAAAAAGCCTGTAATAGATACAGAAAAGATAAAGAAAAAAGAATAAATGCATAGACACTACCAAAAAATTATCCAATCACAAAGGAAGACAGTCATAGATTGAAAGGACTAGAAAAGTCGGAAAATTGGCTGAATGGATTGAAAAAAATATACTCTAGGCTGCCTACAAGAAACTTACTTTAACTTCGAGGGGACACATATAGACGGAAAGTGAGAAATGAAAAAGATATTCCATACAAATGGTAACCCAAAAAGAGTAGGGGTGGCTATATTTGTATTAGACAAAATAGACTTTAAGTGAAGCACTGTTACAAGAGACACAGAATATCATTATATAACTATAAAGGCATCATTTCATCAAGAGGATATAATAGCTATAAATATATATGCACCGAACATCACAACACTGAAATATATTAAACAAATATCACCAGAACTGAAGGGAGACATAGGCAGCAATACAATAACAGAAGGGAACTTCAATACCTCACTTTCAACACTGGATATATTATCCACACCAAAAAAAAAAAAAATCAGTGAAGAAACAACAGACACGACCAACACTGTAGACCAACTCAATCTAACAGACATATACAGAACATTCCACTTAATACACATTCTTTGCAAGGGCACATTGCAACATTCTCCAGGATAGATTACACAGGAGGCCACAAAACAACTCTTAGCAAATTTAAGAAGACTAAAATCACATTGAGGGTGCCAACAATAAACCTCAAATCTATTGAGAGTGCCTCAATAAATGAGGAAAAGACTGTTTCCTCCATAAATGGTCTTGGGAAAATGGATAAACATACACATACACAAAAGAATAAAATCAAATTCTTATATTACACCAAACACTGACCTACTACAGAAAAGAGGTCTCAGAGGGTCTTCATTCAGGGCTAATCAAACTCATTTTTTTTTTTTTTTGGAGTGCAATGGCACGATCTCGGCTCACCGCAACCTCCGCCTCCTGGGTTCAGGCAATTCTCCTGCCTCAGCCTCCTGAGTAGCTGGGATTACAGGCACGCGCCACCATGCCCAGCTAATTTTTGTATTTTTAGTAGAGATGGGGTTTCACCTCGTTGACCAGGATGGTCTCGATCTCTTGACCTCGTGATCCACCCGCCTCGGCCTCCCAAAGTGCTAGGATTACAGGCGTGAGCCACCGTGCCCAGCCCAAACTCTTATATTACACCATACACTAACCTACTACAGAAGAGAGGTCTCTGAGGGTCTTCATTCAGGCTCCTATGGGACATTTGTGGGTATCAGTTAAAGAAACACCTCTGGGAGGATTATAGGCACACGATGGTTTAATATGCAAGGCACAGGCTGGACATCAGCCCCATTCACTGACTAGGCAGGGTGTTCTTTTATGGTGAACAATTTATGCAACTGTAAGCAGAAATCCAGTTGTTATGCCACCAAGAATGGCCTGCGCCCAAGGGCCATGCTTAAAATGATGTACATTTATTATTTTACTTCCCTGTATCCATTTTATTTTTTAAATTGTACCTTCCTCCTACACTTCATGTGTATCTATAGTGCTTGTCAATCAAGAGTCCCATGCCTTGGACTACAGAGGAGGTTATGGGACTCAAGTTGGGCAAAGTACCTGATCCCTTAATTACAATAATTGGCCAAGGAATAGGCATCTGGTCCCAAAAGTGCCAGTAAGTTTCTTTCCTAGGGAGATAATTTCCTGCTGATGAGATACCTGAGCTGTGGTTTTTATCTAAAGCAGCAGATCAAAATTTGATATACAGGAAGTCTACAAAGATTTTCAAAAGCTTAGACTAAATGGGACAGTGACAGTTCAAAATGAAATAGGGATCTCAAAATGAAATCAAGTTGAGAATGCTACTCAGATGCAAGCACACGTCATTTCTTTCTTTCTTTTTTTTTTTTTTTTTTTTTGAGACAGTGTCTTGCTCTTTTGCCAGGCGCCAGGCTGGAGTGCAGTGGTGCAATCTCAGCTCACTGTAACCTCTGCCTCCCGGCTTCAAGCAATTCTCCTAACTCAATCTCCCATGTAGCTGGGACTACAGGGGCCCGCCACCACACCCAGCTAATTTTTGTGTTTTAATAGAGACGGGGTTTCACTATGTTGGCCAGGCTAGTCTCAATCTCTTGACCTCGTGATCCGCCAGCCTCGGCCTCCCAAAGTGCTGAGATTAAACACACATTTTTATCATGGATAAAGAAACTGTGGTATATATATACAATGGAATACTACTCAGCCATAAAAAGGAATGAATTAGTGGCATTCACAGCTACCTGGATAGATTGGAGACTATTTTTCTAAGTGAAGTAACTCAGGAACGGAAAACCAAACATTGTACGTTCTCACTCTTAAGTGTGAGCTAAGCTATGAGGATGCAAAGGCGTAAGAATGACACAATGGACTTTGGGGACTCAGGAGTAAAGGGTGGAAAGTGGGCGAGGAATCAAAGACTACAAATTGGGTTCAGTGTATACTGCTCAGGTGATGGGTGCACCAACGTCTCACAAATAACCAATATTGGGTTCAGTGTATACTGCTCAGGTGATGGGTGCACCAACGTCTCACAAATAACCAATATTGGGTTCAGTGTATACTGCTCGGGTGATGGGTGCACCAACGTCTCACAAATAACCAATATTGGGTTCAGTGTATACTGCTCAGGTGATGGGTGCACCAACGTCTCACAAATAACCAATATTGGGTTCAGTGTATACTGCTCAGGTGATGGGTGCACCAACGTCTCACAAATAACCAATATTGGGTTCAGTGTATACTGCTCAGGTGATGGGTGCACCAAAGTCTCACAAATAACCAATATTGGGTTCAGTGTATACTGCTCAGGTGATGGGTGCACCAAAGTCTCACAAATAACCAATATTGGGTTCAGTGTATACTGCTCAGGTGATGGGTGCACCAAATCTCACAAATAACCAATATTGGGTTCAGTGTATACTGCTCAGGTGATGGATGCACCAAATCTCACAAATAACCAATATTGGGTTCAGTGTATACCGCTCAGATGATGGGTGCACCAAAGTCTCACAAATAACCAATATTGGGTTCAGTGTATACTGCTCAGGTGATGGATGCACCAAATCTCACAAATAACCAATATTGGGTTCAGTGTATACTGCTCAGGTGATGGGTGCACCAACGTCTCACAAATAACCAATATTGGGTTCAGTGTATACTGCTCAGGTGATGGGTGCACCAAAGTCTCACAAATAACCAATATTGGGTTCAGTGTATACTGCTCAGGTGATGGATGCACCAAATCTCACAAATAACCAATATTGGGTTCAGTGTATACTGCTCAGGTGATGGGTGCACCAACGTCTCACAAATAACCAATATTGGGTTCAGTGTATACTGCTCAGGTGATGGGTGCACCAAAGTCTCACAAATAACCAATATTGGGTTCAGTGTATACTGCTCAGGTGATGGGTGCACCAAAGTCTCACAAATAACCAATATTGGGTTCAGTGTATACTGCTCAGGTGATGGGTGCGCCAAATCTCACAAATAACCAATATTGGGTTCAGTGTATACTGCTCAGGTGATGGGTGCACCAGCGTCTCACAAATAACCAATATTGGGTTCAGTGTATACCTCTCAGATGATGGGTGCACCAAATCTCACAAATAACCAATATTGGGTTCAGTGTATACCTCTCAGATGATGGATGCACCAAATCTCACAAATAACCAATATTGGGTTCAGTGTATACCGCTCAGATGATGGGTGCACCAAAGTCTCACAAATAACCAATATTGGGTTCAGTGTATACTGCTCAGGTGATGGGTGCACCAACGTCTCACAAATAACCAATATTGGGTTCAGTGTATACCGCTCAGGTGATGGATGCACCAAAATCTCACAAATAACCAATATTGGGTTCAGTGTATACTGCTCGGGTGATGGGTGCACCAAAATCTCACAAATAACCAATATTGGGTTCAGTGTATACTGCTCAGGTGATGAATGCACCAACGTCTCACAAATAACCAATATTGGGTTCAGTGTATACTGCTCAGGTGATGGGTACACCAAAGTCTCACAAATAACCAATATTGGGTTCAGTGTATACTGCTCAGGTGATGGATGCACCAGCGTCTCACAAATAACCAATATTGGGTTCAGTGTATACTGCTCAGGTGATGGGTGCACCAAAATCTCACAAATAACCAATATTGGGTTCAGTGTATACTGCTCAGGTGATGGGTGCACCAACGTCTCACAAATAACCAATATTGGGTTCAGTGTATACTGCTCAGGTGATGGGTGCACCAACGTCTCACAAATAACCAATATTGGGTTCAGTGTATACTGCTCAGGTGATGGGTGCACCAAATCTCACAAATAACCAATATTGGGTTCAGTGTATACTGCTCAGGTGATAAGTGCACCAAAATCTCACAAATAACCACTAATTAATTTATTCATGTAATCAAATACCACCAGTTCCCCAAGAACCTCTGGAACGAAAAAAATTTAATAAATAATTAAAAATAAATAATTGGAAAACCTAGAAAAGAACTGTAAATTCCTAGATACTTACAACCTACCAAGATTAAACCATGAGGAAACCCAAAACCTAAACAAACCTTAACAAGTGATGGGACTGAAGCCATTCATAACAAAAGGTCTCCTAGCAAAGAAAAGACCAGGACCTGATGCCTTCACTGCTGAATTTTATCAAACATTTAAAGAAGAATTAACATCGGAGTAGGCAGGGGAATTGGTGGGGGACAGGAAAGGGAGTCAAAAAAAGAGAAGAGGAAGAAGAACTAACATCAACCCTACTCAAACTATTCCACAAAATAAAGGAGAAGGGAATACTTCCAAGCTCATTCTACAAGGTCAGTAATACCCTGATCCCAAAACCAGACAATGACACATTTTAAAAGAAAACTGTAGGTCAGTATCCCTGATAAACACTGATGTGAAAATTCTCAACAAAATACTGAAATCAACAAAACACACTGAAAAGACCATTCATCATGAACAAGTGCGATTTACTCCAGAGATTCAAGGATAGTTCGATGTACACAAATCAGTCAATGGGATACATCATATCAACAGACTGAAAGACAAAAACCATGATACTTTCAATTGATGTTGAAAAACTATTTGATAAAATTCAACAACCTTAATAATAAACCCCTCAAATAACTGGATATAGAAGGAACATATTCAGCCTAATAAAAGCCATCTATGACAGACCCACAGCTCGTATCATACTGAATGGGGAAAGACTGAAAGTCTTTTCTCTAAGATACGGAACATGACAAAGATGCCCCCTTTCACCGCTGTTATTCAGCATAGCACTGGAGATATCAGACAAGAGAAATAAATAAAGATCATCCAAATTGGAGAAGTCAAATTACCCTTGTTTGCAGATGATATGACTTTATACTTGGAAAACACTAAAGACTCCACCAAAAAACTATTAAATCAGTTCAACAAAGTTACAGGAAACAAAATCAACATACCAAAATCAGTAGCACTTCTATATGCCAACAGTGAAATCTGAAAAAGAAATCAAGAAAGTAATCCCATTTACAATTGCCACAAATAAAATTAAATACTTAGGAATCAACCGAAAAATGAAAGATCTCTATAATGAAAAGTATAAAACACCGATGCAAGAAATTGAAGAGGACATCAAATAATGGAAAGATATTCCATGTTCATAGATTAGAAGAATCAATATTGTTAAAAGTCCATTCTATCCAAGCAGTCTACAGACTCACTGTAATGCCTATCAAAATACCAATGACATTCTTCCCCGAAAAAGAAAAAACAATCCTGAATTTCAACCTGGGAAGCATGGTAAAACCCCATCTCAAATTTTAAAAAAACACAAAAATGATCTGGCTATGGTGACATAGGCGGGTGGATCACGTAAGCCCAGGGGACAGAGGTTGCAGTGAGCTGAGATCATGTCACTGCACTCCAGCCTGGGTGACAGAGTGAGACCCTGTCTCAAAAAGAGAAAAAAGAAGGTAAAACAATTCTAAAATTTATGTGGAATCACAAAATACCCAGAAAACTTTAAGCAAAAAGAGTAAAACTGGAAGAATCATATTACTTGACTTCTACAGAAGCGATAGGAACCAAAACAGAACAGAGAACCCCAAAACAAATCCATGTATCTACGGGGAACTCATTTTTTATAAAGTTGCCAAGAACATACACTAGGGAAAGAACAGTCTCCTCAAAAATGGTGCAGGGAAAACTGGATTTCTACATGCAGAAGAATGAAAATAGACCCCTATCTTTCTCCATATACAAAAATCAAATCAAAATGGATTAAAGATGAAAATCTAAGATCTCAAACGATGAAACTACTAAAAGAAAATATTTTAAATACTATGATGTATAATAATAATAAAAAGAGAGAAATAACATTGGGAAACTCTCCAGGACATCATCAGTTCGGGCAAAGATTTCCTGAATACGTCACAAGTACAGGAAACCAAAGCAGAAATGGGGAAATGGGATCACATCAAGTTAAAAAGCTTCTGCACAGCAAATGAAACAATGAACAAAAAGTGAAGAGACAACCCACAGAATAGGAGAAAATATTTGCAAACTACCCATGTGACAAGGGATTAATAACCAGAATATATAAGGAGCTCTAACAACTCTATAAGAAAAAATCTAATAATCTGACTAAAAATAGGCAAAATATCCGAGTCAACGTTTCTCAAAAAAAAAAAAAAAAACATACAAAGGGCATACAGGTTTATGAAAAAGTGCTCAACATCACGGATCATCAGAAAAATGCATCTCAAAACTACAATGAGAATCATCTCACTCCAGTTAAAATGGCTTTTATCCAAAAGGCAGGCAATAGCAAATGCTGGTAAAGATGTGGAGAAATGAGAGCCCTTGCATGCAGGTGGTGGGAAGGTAAATTCGTACAATTACTGTGGAAAACAGTTCGGAGGCTCCTCAAAAAACTAAAAACAGAGCTCCCATATGATCCAGCAATCCCACTGCTGCTTGTACATCCAAAGGAAAGGAAGTCGAAATCAGGCGCAGTGACTCACAGCTGTAACACCAGCGCTGCAGGAGACTGAGGCAGGAGAATTGCTTGAGCTCGGGAGTTTGAGACCAGCCCAAGCTACATGGAGAAACCTCATCTCCACAAACATACAAAAAATTAGCTGTGTGTGGTGGTGTGCACCTGTAATCCCATCTACTTGGGAGGCTGAAGCAAGAGGATCGCTTGAGCCCAGAAGGTTGAGGCCGGAGTGAGCCACGATCACACCACTGCACTCCAGCCTGGGCAGCGGAGCAAGTTGCTGTCTCAAGGAAAAAAAAAGGGAAATCAGTACATTAAAGAGATGCCTGGATTTGCATGTTTACTGCAGCACTATGCACAAGATTTGGAAGCAACCCAAGTGTCTGTGAACCGACGAATGGATAAAGAAAATATGGGCCGGGCGCGGTGGCTCACACCTGTAATCCCAGCACTTTGGGAGGCCGAGGTGGGTGGATCACGAGGTCAAGAGATCGAGACCATCCCGGTCAACATAGTGAAACCCCGTCTCTACTAAAAATACACAAAAATTATCTGGGCATGGTGGTGCGTGCCTGTAATCCCAGCTACTCAGGAGGCTGAGGCAGGAGAATTGCCTGAACCCAGGAGGCGGAGGTTGCGGTGATCACGCCATTGCACTCCAGCCTGGGTAACAAGAGTGAAACTCCATCTCTAAAAAAAAAAAAAAAAAGGAAATATGGTACTTATACACAATGGTGTACTATTCTGCCATAAAATAAGAACGAGATGCTGTCATTTGCAACAGTATGGACGGAACTGGAGGCCATTATGTCAAGTGAAATAAGCCAGGCACAGAAAGACAAACTTTGCCTTCTCGCTTATTTGTTGAAGACAAAAATTAAAACAATGGAACTCACGGAGACACAGAGTAAATAATGGTCACCAGCGGCTGGAAGGGTAGTGGGGAAAGACTGGGGAGGAAGCGGGAATGGTTAGCAGGTACAGAAAACAGAAAAAATGAGTAAGATCTAGTGCCTAGGAGCACAACACAGTAACTACAGTCAATAATTTAATTGTACATGTAAAATAACTAAAGAGAATAACTGGATTGCTTGTAACACAAACGATAAATGTATTGAGGTGATATATACTACATTTACATAATAATTATGTAAATTATGTGATTATTATGTATTGTATACCTATATCGAACTATGTCATGCACCCCATACATATGTACCTACCATGTACCCACAAAAATTAAAATTAAAAAAATTTTTAGGCCAGGTCCAGTGGCTCGCACCTGTAATCCTAACACTTTGGGAGGCTGAGGCAGGATAATTGCTTGAGCCCAGGAATTTGAGACCACCAGCCTGGGCAACACAGCAAGACCCTGATTTTTTGTTTTATTGAGGTTTTTTTTTTTTTGAGGCAGAGTCTTGCTCTGTCACCCAGGCTGGAGTCCAGTGGCATGACCTTGGCTCACTGCAACCTCCACCTCTCGGGTTTAAGCAATTCTGCATCAGCTTCCGGAGCAGGTGGGATTACAGGTGCACACCACCATGCCCAGCTGATTTGTTTTCTTTCATATTTTTAGTGGAGATGTGATTTCACCATGTTGACCAGGCTTCTAACCTCGTGCTCCACCCGCTTCAGCCTCCCAAAGTGCTGGGATTACAGGCATGAACCACCATGCCCGGCCAGCAAGACCCTGTTTCAACAAAAAATTCAAAAATTAGCCAGGCATGGTGGCACCTCCCTGTAAGTGCCAGCTACGTGGGACTGCAGTGAGCTGCAGCACTACATTTCAGCCAGGTGACAAAGCAACAGCCTGTCTCAGAAAAAAAAAAAAAGGTTTTTTAATCAAAGGTATGGCACAGGCCTCCCGACATAAGTAAAAAAGGACACAGCTAAAGTCGAAGGTTATCATTTCTGCTGAGGTGTTTCGGGTGAAGCACAGAAACACAGGCAGACTTGCCATTCACTGCCCAATGAACCATGGCAAGGAAAGACCACAAAAACGAAGTGCTCCCTCCTCAGCTATGGCAAATGTCAATCATGTCAGCCCTTGGGAATTTAGAACCAGGACCCACATGAGGGAAAAGAAGAAAAATCTTAAGAAGGAGCCATATTTGCACTAGTATTGCCGCAAACTGAAACTGACATAGCAATTACAAGACTGGACTGAGGAAAAGGATGAAATTGATTAGATCAAGCTAACATTAGACAGGCTGAGAGTTTAGTCTGGTCAGAAATCAGCCATTATATATTTTAACTATTTTTTAAGTGTCATTAAAAACGCCAACTTTGAACACTGTGCAGACCACCACCATGTTAATTTCCATGCCACCTTCTTCATGTTTGTGCAGAAATATAGCTGCTTTAGCCATCTCTAGCATATAGTTAAGTATTGAGTAGGTAGTAATTCTGCGTGACACTTTTTCTGGACTTGCACATGGCCTCTATCATAAAATTACGCAGGGGAGTCGACTTACCACAGCCCGCATTAATCAAATTCATCAAATGCCAGATGAGGTTCGAGTGCTTCTGCTTCGCACCGGCTCTTGTCAGAAAGCCTAAGAAGGCTGTACAGCAACAAGCAGACAAGTAACACATGACATGATAATTCTTTAAGATTAAGGCTTATCGTAAGCCTTGGACACTTTTTGTTTAGATTTTTAAATTTTTTTCTAGTGATATAATCAGCAGAAATTAATCACCGGTTTAAAAATTAAACTTAATGAGGGAATATGATGATAAATAAAACACAACTGCACCTCCTGATGAAAAGTGCCAGTCTGGCATTGTTACTCTGGCATTGTTACTCTGGCACTGCTCTAACAAAAGCATATGATATGAGAGCAAGTCCCTGTGAAGTTTCACAGAAAACCTTTGGAAGCCAAGAAAGTACAGTGAGAATGATCTGTCACCCAGTTTCATTCTTAGTGTGACTGAAACGGCTCAACTTGTATTTCATGAGGTGAAATCTTACACAGCAGTTCCATAGTCCTGCCAAATTACGTGATTTTCAAACAAAACACTGTAAGCTCAAAAGTAGGGAACTCAGATGTTCCTGCCTAATTGAAATACTTAGTGTTATCGACAAAAATTTTATGTGAACAAAATTTAAATGTGAAAATGAAAGCTCTTTATTCTATCAAAAAGAGCTTATGAAAGTTTGAGCTATGTTCAATAAACAGGCATTTACAAAAACATAATTACTCTTATTTTCTGATAAAGTTTAAGCCCTGTTGGCATCTAAGGTGGGACAAGTATAAGTCACCCAGCATCCTTGGAGCTGGAAAACTAAGCGTGAGTGTACTTGTAGGTACTGAGGCAACCAAAATGGCCCCCACATATCTGCAGATATCCTTGAGAGACCATATCATACTGGCTGGTATCACTGATCTAATCCAAAAATACACATTCAAAATATGTATCTGCTGGGGACAGTGGCTCACACTTATAATCTCAGCACTTTGGGAGGCTGAAGCAGGTGCATTATTTGAGGTCAGGAATTTGAGACCAGCCTGATCAACATGGTGAAAGCCTGTCTCTACTAAAAACACACACAAAAAATACATATCTGGTGAATTTCTTTAAAAATTAAATTTTTCCAAAAATAAATAAAACTTAAATTTCACTTCACCTGGATGAAAATGTGGATTTGCTGATCTCTGTATTTTGCTTGTTTTTATATTTTGCCACACAAATGAACTATAAAGAAGTGTTATTTAAAATAGAACTGGTTGGGGGAAAAAGTGTTTAGATTCCATTTTAATATACCATTGAATAACTTGTTGAAATGTAATCAAGTCTATTCTGGAGTGAAAAGAGTTGCTCAGGTAAAAGCAATTGCTAAAATAAGCTCATGGTCATTGTATTTGTGCTAAATAGTTGTCTCTGCAACATTTTAAGACTTTTGGTAAAACTTCGCAATTGTCTAATTTAGGCATTGCCTGTGAACTTAGCACCTTTCAGAGTTATTTATGTGGCAGAATATTCAGGAGACCGGAAAGACCAGTGGGTGAAATAGGAGGACTTTATTAAGGTGGCCACCAGCTCGGCGGATCAGCACCCCAAGGCTGAGCAAAGGAGAAAGAAAATGGGGTACTTTCGATACATCCAGGATGACTTAGCAGCTTCCGTTTCCTGAAGCCAGAACAAAGAACAGCTCATTTGTAACACGTTTTCTGATGTATGTTACATTTGAAAAACAGCATTTTGAGAAACCATTGTATATTCTTTGGGTGTGATCTTGCCCTGTGACCTTGCAACTGGTCAGCAAGAAAAGCAGGAGTCTTGAGATGCCTGGGAGCTCTGCTGAGAATGTGGGGAGACAGAGAAGGTAGCTTTTACAAGGAGTTAGCTAATGCTAAGCAGAGCTGGGGTTAGGGTTTATATTAAACAGCACACAACAGCAAAATTCATTATATAGCAACTACAAATCATAAGGTTTGGTTTCACTATTATTGCTATTATTTCATTCTCTTCTTCATTTGTCCTGATAAGGATAGTCAGTTCTAGAATGTATGTTTTAACATTGAAGTTTTTAATAGTTTCAAGACAAGGTTCTGGTACAGATATTTCAAATAAAAATATAAATAACGTTTTTGTTTAAAAAAAAATTCCAGTGAGTAAACAACTCTAGAACATAGGTGTACCAGGTGAAGTACCTAGACGCTATTTTCCTCCCCACTTCTGTTTTTTTTTTAAGATGCTATTTTTAATTAAGCGATGGGCTCACTCAGCCGTGCGTGGTTTCCACATCACTGCTCACAACAGCAGCAAAGTGTCGGCAACACAACTGAAACCAAGTTTACACTCAAAAAACAAAATTATTATTCCTCTTTTGAAGTCCTGAGGGAACGTCTGACAGAACATGCCACTAACGAGATGTTTTCAAAAGTCACCATTGAGGCTGGAACCGGTGACTCACGCCTGTAATCCCAACACTTTGGGATTTTGGGAGGCTGAGGTGTGTTAATCACTTGAGGCCAGGAGTTTCAGACCAGACTGGCCAACATAGTGAAACCCCGTCTCTACCAAAAATACAAAAATTAGCAGGGTGTGGTGGCGTGTGTCTGTAATCCCAGCTATTTGGAAGGCTGAGTCACGAGAATTGCTTGAACCCGGGAGGCGGAGATTGCAGTGAGCCAAGATTGTGCCACTGCCCTCCAGACTGGGCAACCAAATGAGAACTTGTCTCCACACATGCACAAAAAATAAGTCACCATTGAAGAACTCAGGCTTTGAACACACAGCGCCAGCCAAGTAAGACGATGATTTCAGCCTCCTTGGAAGTCCATTCATTGACCCCTTTTCAAAAGTGAATACTCCCCAGTAAGGAAGGTGAGTGTTTTCAAAGACACTGTCAGTAACTTAACACCAGTCTATAAATTACCTAATATTGCTCTTTCAGACTTCTGGATCCATTTAACTGAAAAAAATTGAAATTGAGATTGCAAAGTGTCATGGTTAAACATTCTTTAAAAAAAAACAACCTCCCATTTTTAATTACTTACCAGTGTGGGCCAAAACTTTTCTCCATAGGGTACCACCAAACAAAATACCAAAGTAAGTTAGATGATGCTCAGTTGGTATCTGTCTAGTGTGTCCCCCAAAACAATATGTTGCGTTCCTAGTTTGAATCAGAAGTAATCAAGATAAGATGAGGTCATAGCCGGCCGGGCGCGGTGGCTCACACCTGTAATCCCAGCACTTTGGGAGGCCGAGGCGGGTGGATCACGAGGTCAAGAGATTGAGACCATCCTGGTCAACATGGTGAAACCCCGTCTCTACTAAAAATACAAAAAATTAGCTGGGCATGATGGCGCGTGCCTGTAATCCCAGCTACTCAGGAGGCTGAGGCGGGAGAATTGCCTGAACCCAGGAGGCGGAGGTTGCGGTGAGCCGAGATTGCACCATTGCACTCCAGCCTGGGTAAGAAGAGCCAAACTCTGTCTCAAAAAAAAAAAAAAAAAAAAAAAAAAAAGATGAGGTCATAGTCAGTTAGGATAGGCCCATAATCTAGTAAGAGTGATGTCCTCATAAGAGAGCAGGGTGGGGTGAGCTGCTTCAAGCCTGTAATCCCAGCACTTTGGGAGGCCGAGGTGGACGGATCATTTAAGGTCACGAGTTCAAGACCAGCCTGGCCAACATGGTGAAACCCCATCTGTACTAAAAATACCAAAATTAGCCAGGTACAGTAGTGTACACCTGTAAACCCATCTGCTTGGGAGGCTGAGGCAGGAGAATTGCTTGAACCCAGGAGGCAGCGGTTGCAATGAGCAGAGATTGTGCGACTGCACTCCAGACTGGGCAGCAGCGTGAGACTCTGCCTCAAAATTATTATTATAGTAATTTTGTGATATTATTATACTTATTTAAAAGGAAGAAAAAAGTAGTAACATCCCCCATATTTCCTATCATGCTTATGCTGGCGAGGACAGTAAATTGTAGGGGTCATTTTGTGGTCCTTATTCAGGATGATAGAAGCCCCAGTATAGTGTTTTGGACACTACTCAGAAGTCTGATCCAATTTAATTCTTGGCCCAGTTCTTGCCTTTGCTGAATTCTCTCCAGAGGTCAAGGTCAAAGGGGCCTCACTAACTGAGAAAGGACTCAAACTGGGAAAAGAATGCAGGGGCAGCAATTCCTTTTTTATTTCTGAAATAATCAGTAATATGGAAGGTCAAATACACAGAGCTGAGATGAAAACAGTGTGTTTCCCTTTCAAAGAGGAAACAGACTTGCAAATATGAAGAAGGGTGGAATTTTACCCAGGCTCAGGGAGTTGAAGGCGGAAAGCTTTTGAGTTTCCAGCAATATAAAAATATCGTAAGTAAAACGTGATTTGCAAATGGGGCCACTACTTAAGAAAAACGTATGGAGCCAAATGTGATAAAGGACAAAGGTTACAGGGAGTGCCCCCCCCGTGAACTGTCCGCCCTTGCAGTTCTGAACTCGAACATTACTCTGAGAGGCACTAGTTGGTTAACTCCACCCCTGAAGTACTGACGGCTCATTTTGGGGGGCCTGCGGCATCTCTAGTCAGATCTAGAACTTGCTATAAATGTGAAAACCATCACCACCCCCTGGAAGCTATTCCAATTAGCCAGAGAAGCGGTCTTTGTGCACCATTTGGCTGCACAAAAGCAGAACGGCAAGGGCTGGATTTGAGCTTTTAGACGGGCTCTGCAAACTCCATATGAAAGGCTGAAGGTGGCTCCATGAACACAATTTCAGATTATCGCCTTCTTCATGCAGGCTTTTAGAAAGAGCTTGCCACCAGATTTGCTAAAAGGATCTCAGCTCACGTGAATGATTTCTTGGCACAAAAAGCCTTCCTTTCCTGTTATATTACAGCATGTGTGCCACATTTCTTCAACTGGCAAGTTTTCCTTCACAAACAGAAAGCAAGCTCATGCGACCTATGGCAGTCCTAAAGCTACATTTAGATACCCCAGTTCCTTAGCTTTGAGCTTTAAAACTATTAGAAGTATCTTATTCCTTCACCTGAACACGCTGATACTTTGTAATAGTTTTCTCTTTTCTTTCTTTTTTGTCTTTTTATAATAAGGCTAATAAAACAATCTCATTGGGTTTTTGGTGCTAAAATCATAAATGGTCTTTCTTGCAACATTGGAAAAATGACCATAACTGTGAACAGTGTGTTTACTGCCCAGCAAAATGCATGTCCCGATACTCTGGAGCAGCAATCAAAGGCATTTCATTCCATCAGTTGCCGGTAGCCGGAATCTCTCCAGGCAAACAAGAAGGTGAAGACACAGAGCCGGACCTCAGGCAGCATTCTGAGGACAAAGCAGAATTTATTACCAATTGTGATTGGTAATAAAAAGCGTTCTCCTGCCTCGCCTCACAGAGCTACATCCAAAGCAGTGTTCTTTATTTACCTCCTGGGGAGTGACAGGTGCTGAGAGCCAGAGAAATCAGCGACCAGCTCACAGTCACGCAGATGAATATATCACGTATCACACTGCTCTCTATGCTGATTTTCACCAGCTCACAGTCACGCAGATGAATATATCACGTATCACACTGCTCTCTATCCTGATTTTCACCAGCTCACAGTCACGCAGATGACTATATCACGTATCACACTGCTCTCTATCCTGATTTTCACCAGCTCACAGTCACGCAGATGAATATATCATTATCACACTGCTCTCTATCCTGATTTTCACCAGCTCACAGTCACGCAGATGACTATATCACGTATCACACTGCTCTCTATCCTGATTTTCACCAGCTCACAGTCACACAGATGAATATATCACGTATCACACTGCTCTGTATCCTGATTTTCACCAGCTCACAGTCACGCAGATGAATATATCACGTATCACACTGCTCTGTATCCTGATTTTCACCAGCTCACAGTCACGCAGATGAATATATCACGTATCACACTGCTCTGTATCCTGATTTTCACCAGCTCACAGTCACGCAGATGAATATATCACGTATCACACTGCTCTCTATCCTGATTTTCACCAGCTCACAGTCACGCAGATGAATATATCACGTATCACACTGCTCTGTATCCTGATTTTCACCAGCTCACAGTCACGCAGATGAATATATCACGTATCACACTGCTCTCTATCCTGATTTTCACCAGCTCACAGTCACACAGATGAATATATCACGTATCACACTGCTCTCTATCCTGATTTTCACCAGCTCACACACAGATGACTATATCACGTATCACACTGCTCTCTATCCTGATTTTCACCAGCTCACAGTCACGCAGATGAATATATCACGTATCACACTGCTCTCTATCCTGATTTTCACCAGCTCACAGTCACGCAGATGAATATATCACGTATCACACTGCTCTGTATCCTGATTTTCACCAGCTCACAGTCACGCAGATGAATATATCACGTATCACACTGCTCTCTATCCTGATTTTCACCAGCTCACAGTCACACAGATGAATATATCACGTATCACACTGCTCTCTATCCTGATTTTCACCAGCTCACACACAGATGACTATATCACGTATCACACTGCTCTCTATCCTGATTTTCACCAGCTCACAGTCACGCAGATGAATATATCATTATCACACTGCTCTCTATCCTGATTTTCACCAGCTCACAGTCACACAGATGAATATATCACGTATCACACTGCTCTCTATCCTGATTTTCACCAGCTCACAGTCACGCAGATGACTATATCACGTATCACACTGCTCTCTATCCTGATTTTCACCAGCTCACAGTCACACAGATGAATATATCACGTATCACACTGCTCTCTATCCTGATTTTCACCAGCTCACAGTCACGCAGATGACTATATCATGTATCACACTGCTCTCTATCCTGATTTTCACCAGCTCACAGTCACACAGATGAATATATCACGTATCACACTGCTCTGTATCCTGATTTTCACCAGCTCACAGTCACACAGATGAATATATCACGTATCACACTGCTCTGTGTCCTGATTTTCACCAGCTCACAGTCACGCAGATGAATATATCACGTATCACACTGCTCTCTATCCTGATTTTCACCAGCTCACAGTCACACAGATGAATATATCACGTATCACACTGCTCTCTATCCAGATTTTCACCTGACATTGCCACCGAGATTTTGAGGTCAAACCCAAGATTTTCTGCAAAACACTGAGAAATGCAAAGTTCTCTAGGGATTTTCAGATGCGGTGTTTTGAAATAACTTTTACTCCTCCACAAAAAGATTGTGAGGCAAATGGGTATTTTATTCCATTTATTGTATCTGGTGTGGACCCAAAAGCGTTAACATTTTAACGTAGAAGGTTCTGCTTTCTCCTCTCTACTCCCTTTCCATTTGAGGCCTTAGCATGGAGCATAAGTAAACAGACCACGTTTCTTCACCTTTTCATATCTACACCAAAAATGAGCTGTGTGCTTATCGAGGAGTTCAAAGTATAAGATCTTTGAAGATAACTATCTCTGTTTTTAGGACAGAATTGGTAGAAAGATAAGGGTCATGTCAGATGGGACTGGGCTGAAATCATGGCTCCCTCCTACACCTGCTGAGTTAGGGGCATTCATACTTAACCTCGAGAAACTTCACTGTGAAATAGGACTAATGCCGTCTTCCTTTCAAGGCTGGCGTGACAATTAGAAATAATATCCTGTGTAAAATGCCTGGCTCATTATATTACGCTCCTTGTATTATTCTTGTTAGTATTATGACCAGTCCTACTCATGCCTAATAAAAATTAAATGCTTAAAAGATACTTGCTTTGTGGACGAATAAATGAATGAATGAATATTTACTAACAGTTCTCCTTAGGGACCCTCAATTGCCTTTGATATAATCAATATACTAAAGCAGTGACACATTAATCACTTGGGGATACTGTTAAAATGCACATTCTGCAGGCGAGGTGGGAGGAGCCGTTGAGGCCAGGAGTTTGCCTGGGCAACATTGGAAGACCTCGCCTCTACTAAAAACTTTTTAAAAATTGGCCATGGTAGAGCAGGCCTGTAGTCCCAGCTACTCAGGTGGCTGAGGTGGGAGGATCGCCTGAGCCTGGGAGACTGTGGCTAAGCAAGCTATGATTGTGCCATTGCACCCCAGCCTAGGCAACAGAGTGAGACGTTGCCTAGAACAAAAACTAAAACAAAAGCAAAGCGTTTTCTGGGTCCGTAAGTCTGAAGCGGCGTCTGTGATTCTGTCTTTCTAATAAGCTCCCAGACCATGCTGAACAAATTCCTAGAAGATCCCATTATCTAGAAATAGGCCAGTTCTTTAGATTCTCAGGTGACGCCAAAACATATCCTACCCTAGTAAAACCCGAACACCGTTAGACACAACTGCTTTTTCTCCCCACAGCAACTAACTAATAACAGATTCTCAACAGCATTATTATCTTCGCTCAAGGGATCAGGGAGTTGAGCTCCAATTACCTCATCAATGAACTTACCACATGCAAGGAGCTAAGGATCAAATCGCATCCCATGTTTATGAAAAACGGCCCGGTCACACGCATACCCAGCTTTGTCTTATGAGTCAAAAAAGATCTGCTATTGTGGTAACTGAAACCCGAGTTTCGAAGGTCTCCGTAATAAAAGGAAGAATAGCAGTGAAATTATCATGTATTTGCAAGTTCACTTCGGTTTGCTTTATGCCAACGGGTGCTAGATAACATAAACACTGGAAAGGGAAGAGGGGAGGACAAGAGAAATAGGCCCTTGGCTTCCTGGAACTTAGAGCCCAGTGAAGAGGCCATGCTCACTGTACCACGCCAGGATGCTGGCCCAAAGCCCGACATCCTCCACACTGCCTGGGAAGAGTCATGCTGAGTATGTTTCTGCCCAGTGGGGCTTTCCCTTCAGCTCAGACCATTGACACAGATAGAAACAAGCATGATGGGTACTTTGCTGCCACAGGACATTAACCTAAACCACTGAGGACTAACCTAGACAACAGGGCACCAAGGAAGGTTGTTCTGAAGAAGTGACCCTCAAGCCAAGGTCAGAAGAAGGAATGATCAAGGCCAGGTATCCGGAAGGAAAGGTGTGGAGAGTGGCAGAAGAGCACGCTCCAAGCTGCAGAAGGATATTATAACCATATCTTTATCACCAACAAATATCATTGTGTTTTCCTAAAAAATACATTTTTTTAAAAAAAGCAGAAAAGGGTAGAAAATGCTGGAAGAACAGAAAACAAATCCAATATGGTTTCTCTCCACTAGCTAAATACTCACATAGCTAAATACTAAAAACTCAAATCTTCAAAAGGAAGAAGCAAGAATCCCCACATAACCCCTATGCCAAGACATGTGAAGATCTTCAACTTTATAAGGAGTATAACAAGTGCTACAAAAATGCAAATACATTAATTACCCAAATACATTTCTGGCAGGGTCATTCAGCCAGGTCACTTGCCATTACCTGGAGAATGAATATGGCAGAGAGACCCTCTATCAAAAGATAGACTTCTGGCCGGGTGCAGTGACTCAGGCCTGTAATCTCAGCACTTTGGGAGGCTGAGGTGGTGGATCACACGAGGACAGGAGTCTGAGACCAGCCTGGCCAACATGATGAAATGCTGTCTCTACTAAAAATACCAACATTAGCTAGGCATGGTGGTGCACACTCGTAATCCCAGCTACTTGGGAGTCTGAGATGGGAGAATCACTTGAACCCAGGAGGCAGAGCTTGCAGTGAGCTGAGACAATGCCACTGTACTCCGACCTGGGCAACAGAGTGAGACTTTGTCTCAAAAAAAAAAAAAAAGGCAGATTTCAAAAAAGAGACCACAGTAATTTGGTTTTACTATAAGGCTGAACATTAATGAATATGTTATATATTTGTGAATGGGATTTCTTTTCTTAGAGACAGAATGAGAGAAATTAATCATTTAAAAAAATACTTCAAAAGCAAAGTGCTTTGGAAGGTGTCATTTGCAAAACAGTTTTCATTTGACTCCCATAGTTTTAATTATCCAAACGTGAGTAGGTAGGAATTTGCTTCATGGTATTTGGTAATAAGATCATGTTTCATTTCTTATTTTGATTAGTCAAATTAGCTTTGGTCCCAACGTACCCTTAGCTAGAAGGGTTAACGGAACATTCCATTTAACATGGTTTAAAAGAAGGGGTTCTCCCTCTCGTTACTTGGGATAAGGTCATCCCAACTGTTTGTCCAGGATCATATAAGAATTCGGGGAGTTACGTCGTGCTTGGAAAATAGGGGACTGTGGTGGATTCATGGCTACCATTGTTTCTCCTGCACCTGAAGACACCAGAAGCACTGCCCAACATCACGTCA